TGATGATGATGTGATGATGGTGGTGATGATGATGATGGGGATGATGATGATGATGATGTGATGATGGTGATGATGATGATGATGATGCGATGATGGTGATGGTGATGATGATGATGATGGGGATGATGATGATGATGATGATGATGTGATGATGGTGGTGATGATGATGATGGGGATGATGATGATGATGATGATGTGATGATGGTGGTGATGATGATGATGGGGATGATGATGATGATGATGTGATGATGGTGATGGTGATGGTGATGATGATGATGGTGGTTATGATGATGATGATGATGATGATGATGATGATGAAGAAGATGGCAGCTAGCACCCATTGAGCCCTCTCTATGTGCCAAGCACCATGCTATGCACTTAAATGTCTTACCTGATGCAGTCTTCAGAGTAGCCCTCTGAGATAGTATTATAATGATTCTCTCTGTATAGATGAGAACATGGACCCTCAAAAAGGTGAAGTGATGTACCCAAGGTCACACAGCAAGTATTGGCAAAGATAAGACTGGACCCTAGGACAATGTTTTTTATCACAATGGTTCTCAAGATGAAAGAGACTCGACTTCAAGTCATCAGCAGGTGGCAACTCCCAGAAGCAGAAAGTACAGCTCAAAGGAGGCACGCCGAGTAGGCAGATCTGAGGTTTTGATGGAGCACTTCAGGGCTCTGTGAAGCCCTGCATTTGTCTCTGTGTGCCCTGGGCAGGCTGGCTGCAGGCCCCCATGCCAGCCAGATCCTCATCTTGGCCATCAGTCTCCCAGCTGCACCTACACACACACGAAGCCCATCCCAGTGGCCACTCAGCTGCAGCTAAACTCCCTGATGGGTCCCAACCTTGGCTATCTGCCCAGGAGGACTTGGTTCCAACCTGTTTTTCAGCCCTCAGGAAACAGAAGCGTGTGTGTTTTCTCGATGAGTCTGTGAAGGGGCTTCTCCCACATTTTTTTCCTTCCCAACAAGGAAAGTCATTCCAGCAGGGAGAAATTCTTCCCCAGAGAGGGGAAGAGCCAGGAAGGGCAGGTTTGTTCTGGACAACACCCTCTGGGATGATAGGAAGTGGAGCCCAGCGAGCTCCCCAGAGCCCCAGGGAAGGGGGGCCAGGAGGTCAGAATGTCTGCTCTCAGCAAGCAGAGAAACAAGAGTGGGCAGGTGGGAGCACACAAACAGAGGAAGCTGGTGATGAAAAGAATTGACAGGACACGGCTGCTAGAGTCATGGGGCAAGAGGGCCCTGAGTGTGGGGACAAGACCAGGAAATTCCTCCTTAAGATCTAAGCCATCAAGGCCACACACAGACGAGGTGGGGGTGGCGCTCTGACCACCATTTCCTGGCTAGAAGAAGGTGCGTCTGTGTCAGCAGGAAACAGCCGCTGTAGAGGTGTGACTAAGAGGAGGGGGAGCGTGCTTTGTAAACTGCACGATTCTGTACATGTGTTTGTTAGCTCTTATCCTCCTTTGGAGCTTTAACCTGGGAAATTGTAACAAGTGGCAAGGCAGGTGACAGCACTGTGACAAAGAAACAGGAGAGCCAATGTCGGTGTGTGGAGTTAGAGAGCATTGTTGACTATGGAGGAGCGGATGTGGGTTTTTGGAACAAAACTCAGTTCAACCACCGCCCCTCCATATGTGGTCAGAGATAGCCTGGGAGGCATTACTGCCTCAGGTCTCATTAGATCCCTAAGAGGCCTTGCCCACCCCCTAGTGAAGGCCTGGACAAGCAAGTTATTTTTTCAGGGGGAGAGCACCTGTTTATTCAGTCTTTAATTTATTCAACCAGTGTTTATTGGACACCTATCACATGCCAGGTCATGTAATGCAAAGTATGATTACAACTATGGTAAACGCTATAAAAGAGATGTACACTGTGCCATAAGGGCCTATAATCAGGATATATAATCAGTTATATAAGGGTCTATGATCAGGATAACAGAACTAATCTGATAAAACCAAGGGTGTTGATGATGAAGCTGAGATTGAAAGGATGAGTGGACATTATTTAGGTAAAGAGGGAATAAGAGAACCAGGCATAAGGGACAGTCTATGCAAAGACCCTTCAATGAGCCAGAGAATGGCATGTATATCGGTCAGCTTTTGCTGCATAACAAGCCACTCCAAAACTGAGTGGCTTAAAACAACAACCACTTTTTTCAACCCACAATTTTGTGGGTCAGAAATGTGGCTGGGTTCAAGCAGGCAGTTCCAACAATTTGGGTCAGACCGTGGCGATCTTGGCTGGGGTTCACTCGTGCATCGGCCTCAGTTGCCACATCAGTGGAGGACTGTCTGGCCATTGGCTGGGGCTCTTTGGTTCTTCGCCTCATAGTCTGTCATTCTCCAGTGAGCTACCCTGGGCTTCCTTCACAGGGCAGTTAAAGGCTACCAGAAGGCAGCCAGAAAGGACGACCTCAGGTACTTGTCACGTCTCTGCACCCATCACACTTGCTGTTGTCCCAGTGGCCAAAGCAAGGCACACGGCTAAGTCCAGAGTCAGGCATGGACAAATTGGGGGCTGTAACTGCAACAATCTACCTCAGTGTGTTTGAGGAATTGAAACGGAGCAGGAAGAGGAGAGAGTGAAGAGTGAAGGGGAGCGTGGCGAGGGTGAAGCTGGAGGTGGCAGCCAGGACATGCAGGGCCTCCCAGAGCACTCTGAGAGTTTGTTCTTTGCCCTAAAAGCAGACAAGCCCTCTGGTTTCTGACTGTCCATCATGTGGGTTTGGTCAACATAAATAAATCCTTGGAAGGCCAGCTGCCCCGGGTGACCTGGTAAAGTGGATTTTGCAAGCCTGAGAAGCTGAGGGCAGGATGTGGAGCATTTTCTACCCCACATCCCTGCCCGCAGCCTACACAGCTATAAATGCCCCAGACTTTCCCTCCTCCATGCCTTTGTACCTGCTTCTCTCTCTGCTGGGGACGATCTCACACCCTGCATAGGGCCAATTCCTACCTCCCCAAGACTCAATTCAGGCACCACCACCTCAGAGAAGCCCTCCCTGACTTCTCTAAGCCCCAAGACCAGGGACCCATTGAATGAGACCGTGAGGCCTAGGACACAAGCCTGTGACTCATTATAGTGGCCTTGTGGTTTGAGGACCAAGTTGGCGTGGGGCCCAGCCCTGCCCATAGGGCACACAGGCACAGTGCTTCTCCCACACTGTAACCATCTTTTTATCTGTCTTCCTCCCACTAGACTGTCTTCTTGAAGGAATGCTCATAAGCCCAGGGCCTGCACATAGAAGAGACAGAAATACTTGAATGAATGAATGAATGAATGAATGAATGAATGAACGAGTGAGTGAATGATTCCACCTCTAAACAGGGCTTTCCTTTGAAAGCCCCAGCCAGCGTTATTCAAGTCTTCTGTCATGGCAGTGGAGAGGAAAGGGCCTTTCCAAGTGGCCCAGGGCTCCAGTGTCTCCCAGTTCCAACATGAAGCCACCCACCCAGAGGAGAGAAGCCCCCTGGCTCTGGGACAATCCAAAGCAGGGTAGGGGGAGAGTGAAGAGAAAGGAGCTCCTTGAGAGACAAGTGCCCCAATATCATTTACTATGACAGGGAAAGAATCAACCAGCTGTGGCCTCCACAGGAGCAGTCTTCCCCGGGTGCTGGAACAGCTGGCCAGGGGCACTGAGGGAGCTCTGACCAGCTGGGCACTGATGCCATGAAGCCAGCTTTTGAGTCAGCTCCCTCGCCACACGCTGGAGAAGCAACTCCTCTGAACCACTGGCAGAGAAGAGGGCACCAGAAGCCCCAGGCCCTGCCCCTCAGTCCTGACAAAGACTTTCCCAAACCAGCCCACTGTTCTTGAAGGATGAGGGTGTAAATCATACTATCTCCCTTTTGCAGAAAAGAAACCTGAAGCCCAGGGAGATAAGCCTTTGACTCATTGGCCACTCTAATAGTCATGGCCACCCAGATAAAAGACTACATTTCCCAGCCTCCCTTGTGGCTAACTGTGGCCATGTGACCAGGTTCTAGCCAATGAGACATGAGTGGAAATGATGTCTGTTAACTTTGGGGGTTTGCTCACAAATGGCAGAGGTGTAACCTCCTTTCTCATTTCTCTCCTTCCCAGTGCCTGGTGAGCCATCTTGGACCATATGGCCAAGAGCAACGCCTTAGAATGACGGAGCAGCAACAACATGGAAAGAGCCAGGGCCCCTGATATCCGGGCACAGAACCAGGGAGCCACCGCATCAGCCCTGACTAGCTTTGCCTGCACGCACAGTTACACGGGAATAAAACAAAATAGCCTGTCTTGATTAAGCTACTATCATCTAAGGTATTTGCTATAGCCTCTGAATCTGTATCCTCCTGACTCATATAACACGGCCCAGGACCGAGTTGCCTCAGGTAGCCCAGCCCTGTCGTCGGGGCTGCCTAATCCCAGGCACTCTCATTGTCCCGGGACAACGGAGCTGTGACCCACACCCCAGGGACCAGCTGTCTTCTTGGAATAAGAGCCGGGGAAGCTGCTTGGGGAAAGCCGCTGTATTGCCGAGAATGGCAAGGGAAGTAAGCACAGTTCATATTCCAGCAGTGTAGACACTAGTACACTTGCACTAGTTGTTAAAATACTGAATAATTCCAGAACAGTTTATAAGCAGCCTCTGCCCTGAGCCACCTCACCCCTTGAATGTTCCCCCTCCCCAGCTATCCTGGCCCCAGACCCAGCAATTAAAGGGATAATACCTGGCACCAAAAGGGGTCACCAGGACCTCAGCGTGACCTCTGGACACTGATTCAGCAAGTCATACCACTTGTTAAATATTTTGAACATCACCCTGGCTATAACGTGACTGAAGGGAAATGAAACCCTGAACTCAGTGTGGAGGGTGACGAGGGTGACATGAGTTCTGAAAGCCAGGGACTTGTCATTGAGTTCCTACCTCCACCTCCTTCTGTCTCTCCTCCCCACAGCCAGAAACGCCCAGCCCCCACCAACGCTGCCCTCGCCCCGTTCAGAACATCCCACAATCACACCCAGATAGTATTGCACTCTTTTATTTACAGAAAACACAGATAAAGCATTTCAATGTTCATTTAGCAAACCAATCCACTTTTTTTTTTTTTCTTTTTGGCACAAAGAAATATCACAGATGGACCCCAAGATCGATCAGAAACCCACAAGATTTATCAGCCATCACTGGTCCAGGGGCAGCCACAAGACTCAGACAGACAGACAGCATCGCCACAGACTGCAAAAAATAAACAAGGTTCACATTCACCTCACAGTAAAAACCTGCTCACCGATGGGCAAGGGCAGGCAGGAAGGGGCAGTTTCTCTGCTCCAAGGCGGGCAGTGGGTGTGAGGGGCAGGAAGGAGGATGGGGTGGGATAGACATTGCTCAGAAATTAGAGAGACGTGGGCTTTTAGTTTTTAACCTCTTACCTTGTAGAAGTAAGACAGTGCAAAAACTATCATACCCTGACCACTTGTCCATCCGAAGCTTCTAGAAGGTGTGTGGTTTGGGATGTCCCTCCTCGTGGGCGCCCGTGTGTGTGTGCAAATGTGTGAGTGTGGTGCTTGTAAACATTGTCACCATTCACGCAGAGACCCAACATCCGAGTGTCTGAACGGGGTGTGATGGGGGCCGGACCCCACCTCCCGCTCCCTCTGCCCCAGAGATTCCTGTCCGAGACATAGTGCAAATTTCAGAGACAAAAAGGGGCAGAAGGAGGTGGCGGGTGGGCAGGGGGCAGGAAGGACACCGAGACAGGGTGGGGGAGGGAGGGGGAGATAAGGCAACAGTTAAAAAACGGTCCATTTTATCAAAACCGGCCCCATGCGCCCCGCAGCCCGCCCTCGGCGCCCCGGTCACGAGAAAGGGCGGAAGTCCCGCTCCTCCACCAGACTGACGGAGGGGTTCTTCAGCTCCTCCTCCGAGGCTGCCATCTTGTAGCCCAGCTGCGCCAGCACCCGCTGGCAGGCGTTCTGGGCGAAGGCCACAATGTCATAGGACAGGCGGAAGCGCCACTTCTCGGCCGTGGCCGCCGAGTTGCGCACGGTGCCGTATTTGTGCTTGCCCAGGGTGGGGTCCCCCTGCGTGTTGTTCTGGATCCAGCGCGCCACGTGGCCGTCCAAGGGGATGCCCAGGAACCCGTAGATCTCCTCGGTCTTCTTCATGGGGTTCCTGGCCAGGTCCTCGTAGCGCACCAGCATGTACTTGCCCTTGAGCCAGGGCGGCCGCATGAGGCCGGTGGACACGGAGTTGGAGAAGTCCTCGCACACCGTGGTCAGCTGCGTCACGTCCAGGTTGTAGGGCTTCCTCCCGGTGCCGTACCAGAGCCGCCAGAGCCGGTACGTGTCGCGGAAGGTCTCGCTGCGGGAGGCCAGAATGCCGCGCGGGTCCCGGACCAGCTGGATGACCTTGAGGTTCAGCCGCGGGTCTTCCACCAGGGCGCGCAGGTCGTTCACCTCGGGCACGCGCACCGTCTTGATGGCCACGTGGCTGCGCTCGCGGCAGGCCTCGGCGGCCACGGTCAAGTTCAGCAGGCCGCACTTGCGCACGCAGTCCCCCTCCTCCAGCACCAGGTCGCCGGAGCCCGGAGGGTCGCACACCGGGCGCGAGCACAGCACCCTGCTGGCCCCGCGGCGGAAGATCCTGTCGGTGGTGTGGTTGACGGGCGGCGGCTTGATGTAGTTCTCCAGGAAGTAGAGGTCACAGTCGTAGAGGCTCCGCAGGAGGTCGCGGCTGGCGCCCAGCATCACCCGCCGGTCCGCGGGGCTCTTGCCCTGGGTGAAGCGAGGGATGAGCGTGTTCTGCACGTGGTAGAGGGGCTCGAACAGGTAGAAGACGTCCAGGTGCTGGTTGAAGAGCTGGCCCACGAAGGAGGAGCCGCTGCGCGTGGTGGCCAAGATGAGGATGTGTGTCTTGCGGGAGAGGTTATAAGCGAAGGTGGGGCCCTCCTCGCAGAGCCGCTCGGCCAGGCCGGCCTCCGCCAGCCCCGGGCAGGTGTGGAAGGACTTGGCGGTGAAGGTGCGGATGGCCGTGTACTGGATGGCGATGGAGGCCAGGGCGAGGAGGAGGACGGCCTTCCAGGAACATTGCATGGCTGGGCACCTTCATGGGGCTGCTTCTCCACCACACGAGCTCTGCGGGCAAAGGCGGGCAGCAGTCAGGGGGCAGTCAGGCTTGGGTGCCTGACACGGCGAGGGGCACTGGCTTGCTCCCCTGGAAGAGCTGGCCTCCAGGAGGCCCAGGGAAGAACCCCCAGCTCCCTGCCCAGTGCTCACACACGCACCTAAAGCCCAGGCAGCTTCTACGCCAGACTTTACATTCTCTGGTGACTCCCCGGGGGCTTCTGGGGACTGGACAAACTGATGCCCTGAACCCCAAGGTTTAACCTACAGACTACTGCAGGGGCCTCCCATCGGGAACCCTGAGTTCCTCCCTGGGGCCCTACTGTGCCCCACTCCCACAGTTAGGGAACGACCAGTTCCTGGCTCAAGCCATTCCCCTGCCACTGCCTGTCACCCCTGCTGGCATCTCCTGGGCCCTCCTGCATCTTCTTCAACCCCCATGAGCTGATGCCCAGTTCCCATGTGGTCATCTTTCCTCCATCCCCTGCCCACCCCCGGGAGGAAAAAGAGTCCATGTCAGATGCCTCCTTCTGACCCAAGCCCCCATGCAGAAAGTGGTGCACACGGTGACTGGGTGGGCTGCCAGCATCAGCTCATCCTTGCCGGCTGGGCCAGGAATGGTGGACACCTATGTCAAGCCCCCTCCCCGCCCCCGCCAAATTTATGGATGCGGGTGACCAGCTTACTCCAGACGAGGACTCTCGGGGCTCCAGAATCTCTAAGAGCCACCTGGCCCGCAGCAGAGACAGGGTCCAGGGGCTGCTGAGAAGCATCCTTCCCAGCCCCCAGCGCCTGGGGGAGGGGTCCACGCCATGGGGCAGATGACCCCCACTGACAGCAGAGTGATCTGGCTCCTCTGCCCACCCCCCACCCCAGCCAGTCCTCAAAGGCCTCAGCCCCTTCTGCCCACAGGGTGAGCTCGGAGACACCCGTGTGATCCAGCAATGACCCCAGAGAACCCAGGCAGGACAGAGAGAAGAGGAAGGAGTGGAAAAGAAGGGGCACCTCCAGGAATGGAGAAAGCGTGGGGGATGGGGAGGGCCCCAAGGCAGGGAACATGAAGGGTGTGCCAGGGGTCCAGGGCAAGGAGCCAACCTGAGCATCTGCAAGTCGTCCCCAAGAGAGGCGAGCTCAGCTACCCGCCCTGGGGGAGGGCTGGGGCTGCTCCAAGAGGGATGCAGGGTGGGCTCCGCCACTCACCAAAGAGGGGCTGCTCCGAGCTGGGAGTCCGCAGGCACCGGGTTGCCTGGCCCAGCCGGCAGTCCCAGCCTGTGTAACAGCCCTGTGGCCAGCAGGCTGCAAGGAGACAGGGAGGGGAGGGGTTCTGAGGATGGGGGGGCTCCCAGTGCCCCCCTTCCCACCCTTTCTCTCCTATGTCCTGTGCCCCACAGACAGCCCCACAGGGCCAGGCAGTGAGGGCCCTGCCTGCTCTCCCAGATCTGTCACTGGCCTATGGCTCTAAATAACCTAGCAGCATCTCTGATCCCCTGGGTCCCGCCCTCTGAGCCCTGGGCTGCATCCCACCCCCTCTGCCCACCTCCCTCACCCCTACCCCTACCCTCCTAGCATGTCCCTGTCCCTTTGCTCACACCAGGACCCAGTGGGCAGGGAGCTGGCCACCTTGCACACCCAGCTGACTGAGTCAGTGCCCCACATGGGCAACCACCCCAGGGAGGCACCCCCCACCACCACCACGCACAGCAAAGAAATCCACTGGCCACAAACACCCCCAGGCCTGGCTAGCTCTTCAGCTCTGGGGAGCTCTTCAGACTGACCCAATCAGACACAGGGCCCAGGGCCCAACAATGGAACAGAGGGTCAGAGTCAAGGTTATCCCAGAAAATTGGGCCGAAGCCCAGCCCAGATTGGTTCTGCATTTTAAATCAACAGGACAGCCTGACCCTTCAAAAGTCGACTTGTTCAGTGACTCCCCACTGAGGGGGTCAGTGGACGTCAGCAAGGGCAGGGGGGGCTCACCCCAGACCTCCCGGGGGAATCAGCAGCTCAGTCGACACCAGCCCAGATGCTGCGGCCCGCAGGGAAGGGACAGCCACGGAGGGAGGCTCTTCTTCCAGCCACACCGGAGAGAGAACGGCTACCTGAAACTCAAAGCAGAAGTGGACCAGGGAGGGTTCCCGACCTGATGCTCCCCGCGGGTCCTAAGCTGCAACACCAAGGTCGGAGCATTACTCGGTTAGCATCTATGAGTACTTCCGAAGTGCTGACGAAGCCCTTTATCTGCATTAGCTCATTTGTTCCTCCCAAGAACTTGACGTGGAAGCCCATATTCACTCCATTTCACAGGCGAGAAAGCTGAGGCCCAGAGAGGGGGAGCCACCTGCCTGAGCTCACAGGCCTGGTCTAACCCCCGTCTGGCAGGTTCCCCAGAGCCGGCTCGTTCCCTCTAAGGAGACTTGACTTCCTGTTCCTCCAGCTTACGCAGACCTGGCCTTCAAACATGATTCGACCAACGTCCCCAGCCCATCTGTGGCGGGCGAGAGAGGGCCCGGGCATTAGCAGGGGACAGAGACAGGATTTCCGAGACTCGGAGCGCGTCCCTCCCCTTTGCTGACGGGTCCTGTTGATCTGTTGGCTCATGGCCGAGGAGGTGGACTCGTGTGCTTTGTGAATAGCCTTCCCACATCCTGCTGCTTGGCATGACTCCTTGGGGGCGGGTGAGTCAGGCCTCATTTCTCAAACCTGCAGCAGTGCCTGGCCCGGCCCACCCGACTCTCAACACCATGTTATTCCTTATGGCCCCCTCTGGGAGGTCCGGGTCCTCACTCCCTCCCTCACTCCCATTGTCCAGATGGAGAAATTGAGGCTCAAAGACTAAGCAAATGTGCATATGCAAATAAGTAGCAAAGACTCAAATCCCTCTGGGTCAAACTCTTAGGCCAGTGCTCTGGCCCCTTCACCATCAGCTTAGAGGGGGAGAAACAGAGTTGAAGCAGGCTGCTTGCCTTAGGGAGGGGCACAGAGGCTGGGCTGAGATGGCAGGGGGCCCAGCCGAGGCTCTAGAGCTGAGAAGTCCTGTTTTAGGTATGAAACTCTGCTTGGTATCTATAGGAAGCCGTACTGCGTCACCAGGTGGCAGTAAATAGGGGAAGGGCACAGTCTAGATTCTTAGGAACTTTCAAAGTGATCAGAGAAAAACCATAACTCTGACCACACCCCATCCCACCCCTACCCCACCCCACGGCAGCAGAGGATCCTGTCTCCATCAGCAGGATTGGATGAGGTGCCCAGAGAGAATGGCCTCTCTGCATCAAATGCAGCTCCCCTCTGCAAAGCACAGCTCCCTCCAGCCCCGGGCCACCGCCCCCCGCCCACCCAAGTGCCCCAAGACAAATTCAAACGCGTTTAAAGAAAGGTAGGGGGCCGGCTCCGTGGCTTGGCGGTTAAGTGCGGGCGCTCTGATGCTGGCGGCCCGGGTTCGGATCCCGGGCGCGCCCCAAGGCACCGCTTCTCCGTCCAACCCGGGGCCGAGTCCCGCGTACAGCAACTAGAGGAATGTGAACCTATGACATACGACTGTCTACTGGGGCTTTGGGGGGAAAAAAATGAATAAATAAAATGTTTAAAAAAAAAAAAAAAGAAAGAAAGGTAGGGAATGCCATCGACAACAGTGCTAGGTGATATTTCTAAGTTATTTGGGGTCCATTCTCTAGTTGCAATGCCATCTCATTTGGATGTACCTCCTTTGTATTAATTCACAAACACCTGTCAGACAGCCAACAGGAGCCAGGCACCGTTCTAGGAATTACAAGAACAATAACACGAAGGAAGGAAAACACTTACGGGGCATTCGCGATCCTTCTCCCGGGTGTATGCTCCCTTACAGGCATCAGGTCCCCTAGCCCTCACACCGACCCTATGAAGCAGATACTGTCACATCCCTGTTTTACAGATGAGAAAGCCGAGGCTCTGCAAGGTTAGGTAACTTTCACAAGCTTACACCCTAGTAAGGGGTCGAGCCAGGATTGCAGCCCAGGCAGTGTGCTCTGAGTCCACGCTCGAATCCACTCTCTGACTCACTCCCTGTCTACTGCATTCCACCCGCTGTGGTCCCCACTAAGACAGGAAACAGAGGCCTTAAAGAGACTTCACTTAACTCTAGGGTTCAGGTTCCAAAAACAATTCACCCACGGTTTTCTTTAAAGAGGAGCATCTTTCGGGGAGGGGACCATTTAAGTTTCTCCCCCCACTTCCCCTCCCCACCCCCAGCCAAGGCCAGGATTGCAAGCTGCTGCCTTTGCTAATAAGTCAGAAGTAACTGAAGCATCTCGATGTTATAAATCCCTAAGAAAGCGCGACTCGGGTTCATAAGGTGCGGCCTGGGCACCATGGGGGGACTGTGCTCGAAGGCCCAGTGGCAGACCATCCCCTGTCCCCAGGGAGGGCAAAGCCAGGGCATGGGAACGGGAAGATAGAGGAAGTCAGCGCCCCTAGAAATGCCCCTGCTCTCCTGCCAGCCTGGCAGAGCAGGGCTCCGGGCTGGCCAAGTGTCCTTGGTATGCTGGAGGCATCTGCCCTGGAAACCAGAGGCCCCGGGGCCAGGGCCCACGCTTCCCAGGGGAGCTTTGGCCACTGCAAGGGACTCCTCAATGCCCTCAGCCTCCAAGCCAGGCTGTGAGCCCAGGGCCCCTCCCTGGGCCTCGAGCAGCCCCTGGCATGGCCTCCCTCCACCTCTGGTTAGTCCAGATCCAGGCAAACCTTGGACACAGGAGCCCAGAATCTGTAACTTCTATTGGAAGGCAGGGGGGTTAGTGAACTCCGCTCCCAGCAGAAGCTTAGGTTTCAGTGTCAGCCACCTTCCGATGAGGGCACAGACTAGGGGTGGAGAACATCTCTACACTGGCGAACTATAATTCAGAGCTAAGAGCTCAAGCCATGGAACCACGGCCCCTGGATCCTGGGTGATTCCCCAGCTGTCTCTGAGCCTCAGTTTCCCCATCCGTGGAATGGGTATAACCGTAGTATTGGCTCTAAGAATTGACTTAAAGCATTTAGTCAATGCCAGCATACAGATATGGCACAGCCTTATGCCTGGGACATGGGCTCTGGCACCAGCCCCATTGACAGCCAGATTTCTTCATCTCTCTGGGCCTCTGTTTTCTCACCTGCAAAATGGGGATCATTTTAACAAGCTGTGGTGAGGACTCATTAGTCAGTACTGTGCATGGCATAGAAGAAACACTCAAAGAATGTCACTGTTATCATCATTAAATGTCTTGTTTGCTTTTTGTCTTGGGGAAGCACTCAGGACAAGTCATCACTGACTCTAACACAAGGCAGACACTCTCCCTGACTCTGGGCCCAGCCCCCTGCCCCACAGGCCCTCTGCCCACCGGCCCTTCCTCCCTCGGCTCCTCTCCCAGCTCGGGACCTTTCTCCTGCTCACGCTGAGTCGCCGCAGTGGCTTTCCTGCTGCCCTCTAGTGGCCACATCCTGTAGTGCAGACTCAGCCCTGCGTCTCTGCTGTGTTCAGAATTCCCAGCCGGTTGGCTGCAGCCTGATGTGAGGACGCAGCAAGTGGGAGGTGATGTTGCAGGAGGCAGTGAGGTGCCAGGATGCCATGCCCACCAGGGCTGCGGGCTCTGTTCTGTGCACCCCTTCATCCTCACCCACACACCTAGAGGCAGGCAGCAACAGGCAGCCTCACCTCATCCCAAGGGCCTCTCCTCCTGGTCTCATTCCACTCTGGCAGAGGAAGGGACATTGAACTGATGTCACAGGCAGGAGCAGCCACTGCCTCTGCCTTTCCTGCTGGGTGACCTTGGACTCACCCCCTGGCCTCTCTGTGCCTAGATCCAGGGACTTTAAGAGCCTCCCAGATCTGACCACTGGGGTTCTCTGATCTCAGGAAGACCCCATACTCCGTTCTCAGAGTCAGGGCCACCCTTCTCTGCAGGCAAGGGGACCCTCCTTTGGGAGTGAGAAGGCCCCAGTCATCTGCCAAGAAGATAGCAGGGCTGGGCAGCTCTGCCCCCCACCTCAGCCGGATCTGTGGCTGCCCCCGTGGGGCCCAGTAACCAAGGGGCTCTGCCCTCTGCCGAGTCAGCCCCCGCCTCCTGCCCTATGAAATCCCACGCAAGCCAGAGCTGTGGCTCTTTGCCTTTTCTGAGCCACAGACCCCTTAGAGAGACACAATCCCTCTTCCCAGAAAGATCCATTTGTGTCTACAATTTTACACACACAGTTAGAAGGTTCCCAGACCTAAAGCCCACCCATGGGTGCCCCCTCTCTTCCCTAGGGGCTTACCCCCTTTATTAGTAGCATTCTCCCCGCTCCCA